TTGCTAGTTTTATGTACACATGTGCACATGAGCAAGTAAATTCTAATGCTTAGTATTACAAATAATAATAATCTTCTTTGTATAGCGCGAATGGTCGCTCCACATACTCAAGCGACATTATAAATTGTTAATGCGAAAACTAGTTGAATGAAGGTAGCCGATATCATCTAACTTGCCCTAGAGAGTGGCTACTTGCAGCCACACGATCTGTTTATAATCTGCTCACAGATGAAATGCTACAACTCGAGAGTAAGGGTCAGCTTGTACAGACTACTTGCCTAATCTTTACAGCTGCTCAAGCAACAGGATCATAAATAATGTTGATTTGTATACAAATTCATGACTGGCGTATTCGTCTTTATACTGGCGTTTTCTTCTGGCCTTTTTACAGTAAACATTCGTTTTAATGCGATTTGGCAGCTGAGTTGCGTTATTTTTCGCCAAGTTGCACTTTTCGTTATAGGACCTATCATTGACAATCTCTAGGTGTTCGCCACCGGACAATTTGAATTGCGTTCAGTAAGTCTTTTGGCTTTGACTAGGCAATAATTATTTATTAACATGATAAAAAGCCGTGTACGACGAGAAATAGGCTAGGGCATATCTCTCATCGTCTCACAAGCTTGCTTTTATTCCCTAGCGCTGCTATATGGGTTTCCTTTATCTTTTCGGTGACATGAGCAGCATCTAACACATTAAGCAAAAATTATGACTACTAATTCTTCTGGGTCCCCTGGAGGCAGTGTGCACGATTCATATGTCCAGGCATTACTCAGCTATTGCTTCTCGGCATTTCTGACTTTTCGTTTTTCTTCTACATTTATCCGAAGTGTACATGTACTGTGGATCGTCTGGTTATGAATTAATTTGATCAAATATATTTGGTCGTTTGTTCCGGCTTTTTGAGGCGGTCAAATGTTAGTGCCACAACCAAAATTGGGCGAAAAAAAAGCGGTTACTCACTATCACGGTAGGCCGGTCTTTCGGCTCTCTTCTGGCGCCATGCTGGACTCGATTGCACACTTTAGTTGAGTTGCACGAGCCGTCACATGCCACACAATGGACATGCCAAAAGTATGTTGAAAGTCGATCTTGAAGTTTTGTTTTTGGAAAATGCTAAACGCGACCCGGAGCTGTGACGAAGCTTGTGGGGTATATGGACCCAACACTATAACGCTCCGATCGAACGGTCAAGCAGTGGTTCGCTCATATACGAAGTGACGATCCTAGCATTATGTCAGCGCATGTGCAGGTCGACTAATTGGCTACAATGGACGCTGAAATTCTAATTATACGCGATCGGTATCTACGTATAAGGCTTAGCCAAATTGCAAAAGATACAGGAACATCTAAGTAGATATCTCTAGCCATCAACAATCACGTCAACCGGGCAGACACCTGGGTCACGAGTGTGTGCACAACCAAATTGAACTAGGACAACCGCTTTCTTGTAAAATGGTAACAGGTAATAAAAGTGGGCAACTTACGTTCAGGACAGATCAAATATGAGTTTAAATGTTTTATAGGTCTTATAGCCTCAACCTTGGTCATTCTGTTAATCAACTTTTCCAATCCTTACAGATCTATCTTAATGGGGAAATTTCGTATTTTTAAAGGGTTTGAAAAACCATATTGACCAGTTGATCACAATGAAAAATGTTTGCTTTTAAAAAAGAGAAAACTGCCTGAAAGATAAGCAAGAATAAATAACGGCCAGTATACCACTCCCTGAAGTAGTCTGCGCAAAGAATCGTTTTCACCTAAAGTTAAATGCAGTTACGAAGCCAACTTATGGGACGACCTAATATTATAATAAATTAATTATAATGGAGCATTCTGACAACAAATTCCAGCACGAATGCTGATGCTGCAAAAGCCATTCGAAAGCTTTCTTCTATTCACTCATTATTATTACTGGAAGAAAAGCGCTTTAACCTTACGCTATTAGAAAACACCAAGTGGGGTCTCATTCAGCGCAGGAATGTACTACACAATTAGTTTGACTCACCATCGTCAGCGTTTTCCATTTACTAATCCCGTTTACTATTGCCTATTATCACTTTTCTCTGTATTTTTATAGACTATATTATCGGAATTCGCAACTAGGAGCCTGCATTCGTTGTTTCTTAGATTTCTTTCTATAGTTTTGGCTATTATTATGAATGCATATGAGATTATTAGTCACGTATATAAATAGCAAGATCTGCTCGGGCAAGCTTTGGGTGGTTGAGTACGGCCACTACCCCAACTCCTTTCGTTGAGTGCCACACCATCGAGCGTCCTGTTGATGAAAGAGGAGTCTCGCTATTCTGTAATTGTGATTTGAAAAACATACCAATTTGCCAACTATCAGTTACTAACAAAGTACAAAATTTATTATGCATCGCTTAATTACCATTCGTTAGACTGAAACACAGTAGGTTCACATTCGCTAGTGATGGAAGCAAAAATAGATCATTATCTTTAAAAAAATATACATTTTAGGTTGCTTAGATGTTGCAAACCGTTCACTGAATAGAAGTAAATTACATTGTATGTATATAGATTTTCCTTTATCAACAGCACTTACTAGCACAGTTTCGTAAACGCTTCGCATCCAAGGTCGTGAATGCTGGTAGGCTTTCCAAAGAAAATCGACGAGACCCTTATCCCACTCATCTTCAGCGTCCATTCGGATATCTTGCATACGAAGTAGAGTTTCAATAGAACTATTGCCAAAATAGCCGTCTCGTAAAAGTTCGTAAGCTGGGCTCCCTGGTTGCACGTGAGGCATATGGCCAGCCACGACAAAGGCGTGAGGTCGCGAGTCCAGCTGCCGCATCAAGCAGCCAACAAGTAGCGCCGCCACGGAGGGGTTTTTCGTTTCCATCTGTACGTTGACCAAAGTAAATGACTTGCCCCTCGCAGACAAGGTGGCCACCATAAACTGTAATAATGAATAAATATTAGAAATCGCACCCTAGCGAATGTGTACTGCTATACAGAATTACTAATTAAACCAGAAAAACATTTCTGTATATAAAAGCGCTTTCAAACCTGTTTAGACTTCGGACAAAACATCAGAACTTTATTTAATCGACGTTTTTGTTCTTCGAAAACATCCGATAAATTATTAAAATAGTAATATTGTCACGACTAAATTATAGCTGCAGTATAAACAGGTGGAATGCATCTATCCGCGCAATAAGTAGTTTCAGCACCAAATGGAAAACAAGTAATAAAACACAAAAAATCTTTCACAACCATACTTGATAAGTAAATAAACGCATGTATTACTACTTATTACATTTACTACTTATAACAAAAAAACAGCATCGATCGCATTGTTACAATAGAATTTCTGTGAGAGGACTGCTGTCAAACAAGAACTTCCGTTAAATCCCTAAAATTCCGTCATACAAAAAACTTAAGCATCATCTAAACGTTTATATGAATCCACACAGAATACTCCGTCTAATAGCATGAAAAACGCGACGAAATAAAATATAGAATTAGGTACCTCGTCTGTCGCACAGCAGTGAGTAGCTAAATAAGCTTCAACATTGGCGCGATATGCCTGCGAGGAGAGGCCGTCGAGCTCCCGATGAGTAAGCGCCCCCAAAGATCCCGTTTCTACAGCACCGATCAGCTTGACATTTGAGTCCGGCTTGAGCAGCAGACGCGTTGCGCCCGAACCAACTGCTTTGAAACTGTGACACGATAGACAAACATGAGCAAGAAAGACAAAAACCAAAAGACAAAAGAAAAACGCGTCCCGCCTGTAGCTTAGCTGTGCTTCACCAAAGTGTTTAATGTAGGATCGGTTTACCGACCATAAATGGTTCCGAGCCTTTACCGATTAAATATATTTACCTACTAATCTTAAATAAAATGTGAGGCGTCGTTTCAACGCCTTGTCGAGTGCTTTCTTCAAAAGGTAACAGCTCACATAATGTGGCAAATCAGACCACAACTTTCCGTATCTGCTGCGCTTGCAGAAAAAAAATATATCTCTAATCATCTTGTCGTACCCTTGAAGCTATCCCACCACGACAAAGACCACGGACGTTATATCGTCAACCCTTGCGCCGATGCACAATGAACAAACACTATCATAACCTTATTAATCTTACCCGTGACCGGGCCACGCAATAAGTCACATTTTTGGCCTCAAGTCCCGGTCTGCATCCAACGATTTCTGCCCTGCCCACCTAGGGTTTTGATCCTACCTAGGACAGGTACCTAAATCAGGACACCGGCGTTTTGTTTATTTACGTTTTCCCAGTTTATTTTTTCATCATCTTACTTCATCTTCCTCACCATCACTCACTTCGTTTTTCATATTTCCGTTTTTCTTCATTATTATCATCTTATTTCTCCTTCTTATTTAAATGACCCTCTGTTCGCTTACTGCGTCACGCTTGCTTTACTTTTATATACGACTGTATATATATTTATATATATATATATTTATATATCCATCTCTTGGTCGCACAGGCCGTTTTATGTGCTCAATATAGTTTTTTGCCGTACTAATCCGCTCGTTTGACGGTTTTAGTTGTTGTTACTTATTTTGTTGTTACAGACGACATTCCTCGCCTTAACTTTTTCGTTCGCGTTGTAATCGCCATCTCCCCCTACACAGAAGCCGTTTGTCTTCATGGCTTCTCACTCGCTCTGTGCACTCACTTCTCCGATAGATATCTATAACCTGTATTAATATTATGTACTACTATTTATCGACTGTGTTTACGTTTCCTTTCACACATTTGCTAGCTTTCGTTAAATCACCTGTTTCCTTTCTCTTGCTGTCCAAGTTTTTGCTGTTGTCAATGCCGTGTATATGTTGTCTATTGTGGCTTATTCGTGTATGGTTCGTCTCGTATATGTGTATCTGTTATGAGATGATGACAAATAATGAAGCTGGTATCACCACTCATCTAACTGGTAACCGGCGATCGCTCTACAACATAACGGCGATACGCCACAGCTTGTACAGTACCACATCCCGTATAAGCCCTAAGAATTGGCAGGTATTGGATGTGGGAAATAGATTTGGTTAACCAGCCGTACGCGGCGGGTGTGGTTGCTTGTACCTATTTGTAGACGTGTATACCTGTAAATGTGCTAATTTAAATTCGTTGGTGATGCTGTGTTTATGCTGCAACTATATGTTGTTGGTATTGTTTATTTTGTTACTCGTTTCATGATTTTCAGTTTTATTACATTGCTGCGTATGCACTCCATATACTCATCAGTATTATTATTATCATTATTAATATAATTATTTTCAAAGGTGCCCGGAACAATACAGAAGCTTTGCCGCATTGAATCCCGATAATAATATTAGTTTATTCGTCCCTATTCTTTAAGGACGCCTTTGCCCTTCCCACATCAATGAATAAACGAATCAACGCGCTTAATGTAAATTACTACTGCTGTTGCTGTTCTTGACAGGAGTAATTCCCTGTCAACGCAGGCGTCTGGCGCAGCTTCGCCATGCCAAATATGTTTTATAATCATAATATTTTTTTTCAATAGATTTTTACGCAGCTTCTTCTTGAATTAACACCAAACTCCTGTTGGTTACTTTTTCCCGGGCACTTTTATCGCGCTCTGCCATCTCTGGCTCTGCCCTTTTCACGTTAACACAAATACGTACCTATTACCATTTTACCTGCAGTCGGTTTTGTTGCAGGACACGTGATTCGGTTGATCCCCTTGTTTCCTTAACCCAAACCTCCTACCTGCCACCCTTAATTAGTCAATAGAAAATGCACCGTTTCCGCAGTGCATACTCTATCAACTAATAATAATTAATAACCTTGATCGTAATAACTCACAGAAGATTCAACCCATAAGAGGAGGCCAAGCTACCATGTACCAACAGAGGATCAAGCTCCCCCCCTCCCCCCCCCCGCTGTTATGGTCTGTAATTTTGTCGAGGTGGTTGCTTATTGGGTAGTAGTTTAGCGTAGTAGTACATCATCATTCGACATCAATATTATCATTATAATCGTCATCGTGTTCTTGGGCTCTGCGTTTAACCTCTTTCTCCCTTTCACTCGTTTTATCTCTTTCTCTCTCTCTCGGTCTATCCGTTCTCATCTATTCTGCTGGCCGACGAGTTCATTGGCGGATGACTGACTGATTTACTCTGACTACCTACCCACAGGACTCGGCCGCCTCGGCCGCTGCCGGCGTCGCCTTCTGCACGGCGATTACTTCTGCTCCATCCGCTTTCTCCAGGATCTCCCGTGTCTCCTTGGCGACATCCCCAGATGCCCCAGATGAGGCCGTCGGTGCTACTACAGAGGCGACCGATAGATCCTTCTCCGTTGGGGCATCGGCCTTTGCATTGGGCTCGTAACCTGTCGACTCCTTTAATTCCGTTGAGCCCGATAATCCATTCTCTTTGGTCTTTTCTTTCGACCCAGGTTCTGTCGTCGGCGCCGACCCAGTTGTCTCCTAAAAAACAAAACAGACGCAAAGCGAACTCAATTAGCTTAGAGAGCGTTTTAAACTTGTAAGTTATTGACTTATGATAGAATGATTCGTTACTGATTATAAAAAGCGTGTACTCGTGAAATATATTATGATAATAAATCGAATATGTTTCTTGAAATTGTGACATAAAAGGTTACTCTTATATTAACGGAAACTATTCAAAGGTGTTAACGTGAATCTTATGTGAATTGAAATAAATAGAGAGACCAATTTAACGGGATCATGCAGTGATCATGAGGTGCTCATTACCTGGGTAGAAGACCACTTGAGGCCTAATTTCTCATCACTTGAATAAGCATTCCTTTGGTTAATCTTTGCGTACCTTAGGGACTTCAAGCTCTGAAACTGGAATCGGTGCAGCTGCAAGAGGTAGCTCTGGTTTCATCTCTTCTTTCGCTGCTGCTAAAGTAGTGGTAGGATCCTCTTTAGCAGGAGTAATCTCGGTCGTGGGCTTCTCAAGCTGGGCAACGGGTTTCTTCTCCTCAAATTTCAGTGTATCGGTACTGCTTGCCTTACCCAATTCCGTAGGCTTTTCTTCTCGAACTTTTTCAAGTACTGCTACTTCATCCTCTTTTTTCTCTCCTACAAAGAAAAGTATTGAAGCATAAACATAAAGTAAATACAATTAACTAATTGTCGGTTAATTTCGCAACAAAGCTACATCATTGCGCGTAAGCTCATAAGGGATTTTGTAGTGGTTTTTGTCATCATCTAAAATATAATATAAGCGTGTTAACAGTCGGGTTTCGAAGTTTCAAGATATCCGCTTGGCATCGATAAGCCTTATATATAATTATGTCGTTCAACGTCCGTTTTTGAATTTTGGCAATAATCCGGAACGTGGTTAACTTACCCGCAGATGAAGGCTTTTGTTCTTCTAACTCTGTTTTATCCAAAGCTCCCGTTTTTTTCTCGGTAACCGCTGCCGTCGTTTTTGCTACAGCAGCAGACGTCATCGTCACAGCGGTATCAGATGCTGCTGCTGTTGTTACTTTTGTTTCCGCCGCTCTTTTCTCGCTCGACTTCGCCCCTTCGTCAGCATCCTCAAACTTCTGTTTCTTCGAGGTCTTGCTATCTGAATCTTCAGTCAGGTGTTCGCGGGTCTTTTCACTGTGCTTGTCAGTGTTATCGTCTTGTTCATCGTCATGCTCTCTGACATCTTCATTTGCAGGAGCCAGCCGTTTTCGACCCCGTCCTCGTCCAGCAGGCTTTGGAGCAGGTGTGTCTTTGTGTTCGGCGGGCCTTCTTCCCCGACCGCGACCCCTCGCTGGTGTCTTCGGTTTGTCTTCTTCGTCGTCCACATCATCATTCGGATCGAATTCGTCATCCTTTGACGAGTCCTTTGACGGTTCATTGCTATTCTCCTCTTCCTCGTATGAGACCTTCGTGGCTGACGTACGCTTTCCGCGCGGCCTCTTTCGCGCCGGCTCAAGTTCAACCTCGTCTGGATCTATAACTGATTTACGCGTCCGCGTAGACCGTCTTGGCGGAGGTGCATCGGCCGCATCCTCAGCGGCCTTTTTCGACCTGCGTGGCATCCTCAAGCCTGTCCTGTAGTCAGGGGTTAAACAGCCCCAGAATGATTAGGTCGTTTCGATGGTCAACGGTAGTAGACAATTAAAGAGAGGCCGGCGTCCGTTAGCAAAACAATGCAATTATGTGGCAGAGCTGTTGCTCGCACTAAATCAAAGCGGGTCTTTTTTAAGATCACTTGTTGTATCAGCCTAAAATACATGATAAAAGGTACATTATTGCAACGTTATTCAAAAACTACAAATGTAATGTTTGTATATACTTCGACAATAAAAAAATATCGCTGGTTATTCGTTGGGTACTTTTCTTAGCGAGGAATGTCGAAAGCGAGATCAAATATGCTAGTGCATATGCTCGATATTAAAATCGTGGTTGAATTTCGATAAACATTTCAGTTAAACTGTCAGAAAAACAGATAGTACCTTTGGTGACCTGCACTTTTACTTGATACAGTAGGTAATTCGGAAAGGTTTCGTACGAATTTCAAATGTTGGCATGACGCATACACTGCTCAAATTATCAAGCTTCTCATCATAATTTACAACACCGTTTCATAGCGTAAGCAAAACGTTGTGCTTTGTTGACAACATGTGCGTACTTCAGTGTGATCTCCTTTATGATGACAAACATGAATGTGTCAATGTGTTAGCAACCGACGTCTGTTTTATCCTGCTTTTCCCTTGCATTGCGACTATGGCTATCTGTTTTTTAGCATGTCTGTTCCCGAACACTTTAGCCTCTTTAAATCCCCGGATGTTTTCGAGAGACTCTGTCGTTGTAATACTCTTAAACGGGTTATGGAAACCCGCAACTTCTCTAAACTTCTCCGTTTTTTTGTTAAAACGCCTCATCAGTTTACTACACACGAAACTTATAGTTATCTCAACATTACGAGCAGAAAAATAACACCTGAAGTAAAAGCTGGTGGTTGACGTTAGGCCTTGAGTGCACTTGCAAAAACGTTTAAATGCAAGCGTGAGTACGAAAATCACTCCAACCAGCTTATCTAAATAAATGTTTTGGCTAAAATGAGTGAAACTAAATACTAAAGATTTAAATACGTCATGAAATATATTCACATCTAATAATCACAATTCGAAATACCAAACATTTCAAACACCTTTTGCACAAATTCGTAGTTTTGCAAAAAAATCGTGTGATTTGACCAAATATTCAGAAAAATGAATGCTTATTGATAAATACGAGTACCCAGTCAGCGCTTTACTTCCATACAAAATTATAATAATTGCTCTCAAGGGTAGATCTCAGGACATCAATCTAGCTTCAATCAGTCAACAATATTCACCTTCGAACTCTGTTTTTATCTATCTGTACTTAATATAGTTCACGATTTTATGTCATCGAAAAAAACATCATGTTCCACGTCGAATCAACTTTTAACGAAATTGCACAAAAATCTTCGATCGCCTGAACACACTATACAGACGATAGGCGATTCGTGTTGCTGGCTCGGCGCCAAAATCGCTCCGCGCGCCAAAAGTGGAACACCGTCATCAACCGCCTTCAACTGGCTGATCGGCACCAACAGCAAGACCACTAGCAGAACAGAACCACAAATTCTCCTCCGCAGAAACACCCGCCTACACCGCTTTTGTCTATGGTTGACCCTCAACAGTGCACGCAACGGATATGGAACTCTCTATCGATACTTGCCTGCTCAACTACTACTTGCTTTTTGACTGCTACCTCTACTACCACCATTACAAAAGAAGAGCAAATCATCTCTCCGCAGAAACGCAAACACACAAGATTCAAAACACCGTTGATTTCTCTTTCTCATGCTACCTCTTTCTGGGGCTATCCACACCACAAAAGTCGAAACGGCTGTAAATATCAGCAGCAGTAACTGTAGTGCTAAGTTCCTGCGCTAGAAACCGCTCGAAAAACGCGCCATTTCTACCCGCATTTTGAGTCTTAGCGCCTTAACACAAACTCGCTCTCCGGCGCTTTCCCATGGTCTGAGTGGCCGAACGATGGCGACCGCTACGGTAGAGCGAATTGTTTATTAAACGACTTTCATATTCCTTGTTGTTGCCGCTGTCGTCAAAATCAATATTAGCAATAGCAAAACAGTCGTTCATTTTTCACCAAATCTTATAGAAATTGAAAAAGCATCAAACACGTTGTTGCTCGAGCCAGACAAACAGCTAATATGGCTGAGATTGCTAATTAACGCTGAGCAAAAACCATCGATTAGCAGCTAATCCCCGCTTCCATTAACGAATGAGTGTATGATAGAGAATTGCGAGCAGCAAAAAGTAATTCCACAATATCAACAAACAGTCTTTAAGAAAATTTGAGTAGAAAAATAACAAACGTTTAATACAAGCTTTCTTACAGGCATGGCTTAATACTAAAACCCGTGTGTCTATACACGAAGTGAATAGACACTTACATATGACTTATGACAACAAGATACTTTGCTTTATTCCTATTATATTGAAAAAACCTGCTATTTCGTTTTTTCAATAGTATCAAGACTTCGCTCGTTTATTTCTTATCGATATTATGATTACAGATCAAATTACTTCCTTGCGTATCCATTACCATGAACACGGTTACTTGGCCAATTCCTCGCTAAATTAAAGAGTCATTGTCGTCATCATCATCATCATCATCATCGATTAATGGCGATCATCTCAGTACGGTAGTTCTACGAGTGGCTGCTTCCTTGAGTCAGGGCGCAGCAGAGATAGCGCAGAGTGTCTACCGCCAGTCCCAAAATGTTTGTTAGAGAAGACGGTTGGCTGGCAACATTATGGAGCTCGTGTGCGGAAAGCGCGCTTAAGGAACGGACGGATAAACAGCTCTATCAGACAGACAGATCTTTGAAGAAATGGTTGTATGGCAAAACTTGGCGTACTATAACAACAAACGTATTTAGTTGTAACGAGATTATACGTCGTCAGCGTCATCACAGCGACAGGATACAACACGATGCTGTTGCTGATCATTGTTTGGCTATAATCAATTACAAACCACATTTTTTGGAAAGAACGTCAAGCTTGTCTAACAAACTGCGTGTCAAACTTTTACTTTATGATAATATCAAGTTAACAAAAAATGTGTAATCACTTGCCGTGTACGACCAGTGATATAGCAGGCAATAGCAACTTGTTTCAACAGATTATTCCGTTATTTTCAATTAAGAAACGCTCGATACTTGGCTAGTTCTACATAATGACCCATTGCGCTAAGACAACTAATTAAAACTATTGTTTTAATTAGCAGTTCAACTCTAAGTCATCAAACAAAGCTGATACAAAGCCTGAAAACATCGAGACAATCATGTGCGGCAACATGAACTAATATAGTTTTAGTATAAATCATTGTCAGAGTTGGCATAAACGTTAATACAATGGCCAGCACAATGGCCAAAACTTAGTGTAATTGCCTCAATTTTTGTTTTCCCCTCACTGGTCAATGGCCAAAATCGAACGCGTTATGTGGTGCATTGGTGTGCGTTTTACGACACCTTTAATTGAACCTCGTGATATAATGCCTGTAATTCGTATCTGCAATCTACTCTTAAAACGCATAATAAAGGGCATTAGTAGTTGGCGCCTTCTTCTGCATCAGCCGTATTCCGGGGCATCGGATCCGCCGAGACTGATGAACACAATATTCAGGAAAAGCATGATAAGCACTACTATAGTTACATACAAGCAAACGCCCGCACGCGCGCTGCAATAACAGTAACAGATCGGTGCGCAACCATAATGTCCTCTCGTTCTCGCCCGTGTTATGATGTAGACGGTCACAAAAACAAATACAAAATACGCGATGTTCGGTATAAGATACGGCAAATCACTTTCGCCTATTATTATTATTATATTATTATCATTATAACGATTACTACCTATGGAGACACTGCAACCGCTTTCATTTCACAGGCAGTTCCTAGCGTTGCAACCATTGACGTTATAGATCTTGACAAGTATGCACTATAAATACGTTAATCGGCCTACAAGCCACCAATCATCGCCCGTCTTCCAGCCACCGCTGTTATGTTAATAGCCCCTTGGGAGTCTGTGTGGATGGTAATGGAACAAACAACGCGCGCCAAACAGAGAAAGTAAACGCGTACCCACGCACGTTTACTCTGTTGTATCAGACAAGTGGCGCTTCTCTGTCGCATGTCCTTTGTACATTACTGGTCATATGACCTTCCGTTTAGGTTTATTCTGAACTACAGGACATACATTCATAGCGTATCATTTATTTAATTATATTATTAATAATTTATTTAATTATATTATTAATAATACTTCTGTTAAACTACATCCGAATGAAAACGTATACTTTGCTCAAGGCAGAAACATCGCGTCTCTTAATCGAACACTATATTTCTTATTCGCTTATGTAACTAACGGGAAGGTGCTTTGCTCACGGCTTTTACTCGCGACTCCAGCCAACTTCTACGGCGGCATCAAATAATTGCTGTTATCTACATCTTCACTGTGTACGAGCCAAAATTTACCAGGTTTTTATCAAATTCTCTAATTAAATATTTGTCACAAAACGTTCACATGCTCAGCACATGATTTGACCATTCGTTACCGTTTTAGCACACTTTTTAGAATATCAAATGAAACACCTTTTCGTTAATGACAACAACTTTCTGATGCATGTATAACAGTACTGAGTCCTATTGACCGCGCACAATACTTCGAACGCAGATACTAGCCGAAAACTTCGTTTTACCGACAATGACATTATATTCTGTATCTCGGTCATTCGCACGATTCATTTCTTTAGAGAAGGTAACTAATCTGGTTCTATCTTTTCACCAGCAGTCTGGAAATACGACAACAGCTGCTGATCTTCTAATATCTGTCGAAGATTCAATGACGAGCTTGTAATCTCACTCTAAAAGATATCTTACTAGCAGTAATAGTAACTGGCTCATTCTAGCGATAACAAATTTCGTCTAAATGGGTTCTATGGGTAATGTAGTTGTTTACAGTGAAGCCTGTTTCCCCGAAACGATATGACCGGCGTTGCTAATCTATAAAGCAACAGGATGTAAACGTTTCGAGAACATTTTCCCGCTACTACACATTTTCGTCTCACAACATTTGTGTCATGAGATTCTTCCTACTATAGGAAAAAAGAAAAAAAGCAAATCAACTCATAATATTTCACCACTCCAATATTGCTTGTTTTCCTTCAGAGTCGTAACACACTTAATGTTGCAAAAAAAAACCGGTGTTGGAAGAGGTATGTTGGATTCTGAGTTTCGGCGAGGGAGGACGCTGCAGCGACTACTGAACTAGATCATTATTGTGCCAGACACGCTTACATTAGTGTTTATATATGTACGCTGTGTTAGCTTTATTATTTTGCTACCAGCACGAGCAATATGCGACTCCAAAATCCTCAGTCAAATTTTATGTACTGGGGACGCAACAGAAGCAACCACAAAAGGGAACCCCGTCGAAGTAGCTCCAGCCGCCATCATCTTCCCGCCGATGCACCTCGCCAACAGCACTGTCTGGGGCATTGCCCATAGCACAGCCGCGCGCTACGGATGGCTTCAATACGACACCGATCTCATCGCTTTCGGATAATCACGAGCGGCTCCTCGGTTTTCTACTTACTCGGTTCGAACTGCTACTGCAGCCGTGGTACTGCTGCATCCACTCTACTGGGGCATGGACTGACCATTTATTTGCCCTGCACTTCTTGCACCGGCAGTTATTTCACTGTCATGTCACCAGTATAATTGCGATGGTGCCGCAGCTAGCTCCCGGTACTGTGCCATTGACTGCAGCAACGATGGCCGTTACGGCGGCCATAGTAGAGATAATAGTAATAGCTGCGATGCTCGTTTTTGCTACCGAGAGCAGATCATCACTATGCCTGTGCATGGCGCTATCGTGCATGCGGCAACAGCAATGGCTCGCGCCGCCTGCATCTATAAGCGATGCCCTTACTGTTCTCGCACTGCTGCTGTTACTGTCGGCGTTACTGTTGCCAGAGGCAACTAGAACAGATACTGAACTGAGTAAGAGGAGTCGGGCGCGGGGAGACTATTGCGCCTTTTAGGAAATCAACGGATACTCATGGAAATATCTGCTGTTGACTCCGCAGAAAACTGCCACAGCACTGTAAAACAACAGGTAGACAGCCAGTAAGTTCAATATAGAAGTATGCACACACACAGTGGCCAATGTTACCAGGATTGTTAATACACACGCCGAGAGGCGGATTTCGACAACTGCATCACCCCCATCGTATGAGTACAGGTGGCGGCGCTCATACTCGTCACACTCGTTCATGTTTACTTCACGCAACGACCACACAAACATTCACACTCGGCAAGCGCCAAGCCACGGCTCACATCCGACCTCACCACGCACAGCGACACAATCACAGAGGCTGCAGCGATAACCGCGACCACAACGGCCCCAACAACTATCGCCAGGAAACGATGGCGTTGCCCGATTGCCCCCAGTGGCACCGACAGCGACTGCCGCAGTGGTTCCATATGACACAGACACTGCAATCTGCTGGCTTGCGTGCCTGCTAGCTGTCCATGGCCCATCCACCAGCTTAAATTTACCGAAATGGTAGTAGAGCAGCGCACACAACATAAGGAGATGTCGTTGTTCTCTAATATATAAAACCACCCCAGACACCTTCTCTCCAAACGACATCTCCGGAGGGCTTATGATCCTCGTCAACACATATCCCTCCTATTAGTAGCCACTCCAGTACTGACATGGATCGCCACTATTTCTAGACGTTATTGTTATTATGCCGACGATATGTGCAGTTGCGATAGAATAAATACACACACAGTCACAGAGCTAGTAGCAAGTCTTCTATTGTTGCTAAATTGGTACACTTTTTGTATTTGTCGCTGTTTGTATTGCGTTGTCCCGTCGGAACGGCTAACGCCACAAGAGGTTTCAACAAAACATCGAGGGTAGCAGTAACAGCAACATAGCCAAACCATCGACAGCTAAAGCTATTCACCACTATGGTAAATGGCAGGCGGACACTAGATGAATGACCGTTGCGCGCCAACCGATTTCGCAATGATATGCATCTAGGGGCAACTAACTTCGGCCAGCGGCGCGCTCGACGCGTCGTTTGATCGACTCACGTTGCCGCTGCGAGTTGACACAATAGCCAAAAACTCGTAAAATAACGAAATTTCACTTGCCCCGTAGGCCTAACGAGGGCTACTCGAGACGCTAGTATATTCTTACATAATTTCATCTAGCGTTCACTAATCTACGTGAGACGAGTCGATGCACTGTAGACTGAACTTCCTTTCAAGGAAGAACTTGCACAGAAATACTCACTTTTAACGCGGAAACTGAGTAAAATCGTTAACCGCCGGCGGGAGACCACTGCCGAAGCGGGCATAAACAAGCCAATGAGTAACAAGCACAATTTATAAAAACCGCTCACATTATCAAGTGTGTTTTTCTCTACGTTCTCATTTGTCGTACCTGATTTTACAGTGGATTTCTATCCTAGCCATATTACCTTAGCACAATCACCGTAGCATATGTAATTTGATAATTCCTTTAGTCAAATTTCATTTACCAAATCGACTCAGGTACGCGATCAACACAAACCGAACGAGTGGTTTCGAAATCCGATGATGGGTCTTTTCCATCCCAGCCTCGTGGTGTGTCGACGTGTGCTGCGGGGTTCAAGTTGCTACCATGGGTGATTGTGTATGTATTAGGCCTTTGGCTACGGTTTACGCTGAAGATAATGAGCAATCGGGAACGAACGTTAGTATGCCTGCTGTTTTCCGGGTTCCGATTCGTCCGGACCTTATTTCGTTTGTGCACCATCAACTGTTGAAAAATAAACGCACCCCATACGCTGTGTCTAAGGAAGCCGGCCACCAGACTTCAGCCGAGTCATGGGGAACCGGTCGTGCTGTTGCCCGTATCCCGCGTGTCCGTGGCGGAGGTACCCACCGTGCGGGCCAAGGTGCGTTCGGCAACATGTGCCGTGGAGGCCGGATGTTCGCCCCCACCAAGACCTGGCGCCGTTGGCACCGTCGTGTCAACGTGACCCAACGCCGTCATGCCGCTGCATCGGCTATCTCGGCTTCCGGAGTCACCGCTCTGGTTATGGCAAAGGGACACGCTATCGAGCGCGTCAACGAGGTTCCCCTTGTTGTGTCGGACAAGGTCCAAGAGTATAAGAAGACCAAGCAGGCCGTCGCCTTGCTCAAATCCGTTAAGGCCTGGGACGATGTGGAGAAGGTGTGGTTAATGTGCTGTGATCGTATATATAGTCTAGTATTTGAGTGGTATGCCAGATGTGGACTAGTATTCTAAGGTCTAAACCATATAACAGTGAACATATTCGAATTTGTGTGTGTTGTAAGGGGAAGTTTCTATAGCGCTCGATTAATACACGTTTGTTGCCTAAATTTATTCAAAAGATCAAAAAAAAAAAAAAATTGAAAGTGGTTCTCAGAATGCAGGACTTGCTTCAATCGTTGCTGGGTTCTGGTAATCGTAAATCTAAGATCAGGGCTTCTTATGTTATTCAACAGGTTCTGTGAAAATATATCCACCTGCAGTGCGACGCCTAACCAACAGTAAAAAAGTAGAACATTCATGTTAACATTAACGCTAAGGATCACTTATCGACTGCCGTTTTAGGTTTACAAGTCAAAGCGCCAAAGGCCTGGAAAGGGTAAAAAGAGGAACCGCCGTTACAAAAAGAAATGCGGACCACTCGTCATCTACGAGAAGGATAACGGTATTGTTCGTGCTTTCCGCAACATCCCCGGTGTTGATACCTGCGACGTAAACGCGCTGTCACTGTTCAAGCTTGCGCCCGGAGGTCACGCTGGGCGTTTTATAGTATGGACTGAGTCTGCCTTCCGTAAGCTAAATGACATCTTTGGCACATTCACAAAGACATCAAAGGTGAAGAAGGGTTACAAGTTGCCGCGGCCAATGATGACCATCACCGATCTGGGTCGCCTCTTCAAATCTGAAGAGATCCGTGGCGCGCTCCGAAGAGCCCCGAAAAAATCGATTATTATCTCGAAGAAAAACAAGCCAAACCCTTTGAAGAAGATCCATCTCCTGGGTCGCCTTAACCCTTACGCTTTGGTCGAGAAAAGGAAGACTATCCTTGCTCAACAGGAGCAGAAGTCCCAGAGAGCCGAAATTCAAAAAAAAGCGGCTCTAGAGAAGGTGGCGGCTTTGAAGAAGGTTTATAAGCTTATGAACGAAACGGAAAAAAAGAAGCTGAAAAGGTTGCAAAGCCCCTTCCCTAAGAACCGAGGAGCCAAATCTAAGAAGGGAGGCAAAAAGGCTGCCGCAACCAAGAAGTAATCGTGAATCATTGGTAAACCTGCAACTGCCGCCTCTTTCCAGGTCTTCAGGTTTTCAATAAACTAATTGATTACACCTGTGAATTTAAGTTGTTGTTTGTGTAGCTATATCAATAGATTACTGCTTCAAGTTCTTCCCTGATTGATTTTTGACAGCGTAGTATCACATAAACTATAATGCCTGTATCAGTTACCTCTTCTAAAAAAGGACATTAAATTAATAACCTCGTCATATTTGGAAATATACGAACGTAATTGCCATATTGAGTTGTTGACATCTTTTCAATTCGTTTGAATAGTTACCGAAGGGAGATTGTTCAACAGGTCTTCAAACTATGATTAAACTGAATAGTTGAAACTAACATAACATAAAACAGTTTTGTGGAAAATCTTAGCTGAAAAAGTAATTTTTGGATGACTAGTATCCTATGTCAATGTATATTCAAAACGTCGATATCTTTTGGCATGCGCGCATTGTCCGACCTTGTGAGCTTTATTGGGCTCCATAGACGCAAATTCGCCACGATACTGCCACGTACTGACGTTTGTTACGCGTATGTGGTATTATTATTAGTAAAACCAATGCAACCTTTGTCGAATATACCGTGTGGCTAAAGGAAATTTTTTGATTCCTAAAGTTCGTCAATTTGATAATTCCATAAAAACGTACATATATATGCTTATAAAACATTTTCAAACGAACCAGAAATCTTTTATAAATAAACGTATATGTACATGAACTATATGAGTTCTCTTCGGTTGTTTGAAAATGCCCGAAAGATAGTCGCAGCTTTCACTCATAGTTAAAAGTTGCAAATATTGTTTCAACTATGAATACGCCTATAGCATAAAACACTTTCAAGATTTGACAGGGTCGAATACTTATAAAGTAGCATAGTTAAGCATGAGTATTGTTCTTAAACATTTTGAAAGGTCCAGCGTATTACAAAACAAAGGTCTGGAGTAATGTCAATTCGAAAATACATAAAGCCTATTATAGAAGCAAAGAAATGAGGCTGAAAAGAGAAATGAAAAGAGGCGAACAATGGTATATCTCATGTGCATTCATATAAAAAGTTATTTTCAAGTATTAGCAATAGTTTTATGATCATCTATTTGATGGCCGCAGATTGATTGAACATCAGTGACATCAGTATAATGCATAGTCGGGCAATTTTAAAGTCGATGATGTATTTTTGGAAAAATTTGTGCAACAAAAAATCAGGGAATAAATATCGATTACTGATATTGGTTAAGCCGCATATGATATTGAGAAATTGACTCATCGAAAGGAAACATCTACAGGAAAGATAAGGTTTGGTAAAGTATGATAAAGCCTGCACTATCTGACCTCTATTTGACTCAGTTTAATTTCATTAATCATTTAATTCAAAAGTTACCGGCAAATAATTATAATAACAGAGGTTGAAAACGTTAAGTGTTCATTTATAGGTCTACTGAAATTACGATTTAAAACAACTAGATGTGCTCTCTGTAAACTTCATTGTATAGTCTCTACAATTTTTGATCATTTGATTTAATAGGATTTTAATTCAACTTATATCTCATTCACAACGAAATACGAAAAACGAAAAGAAGTAGCTGGTTATCATTACAATAAATTTTAGGAAACTCTCGGAGGTCTTAAGAATAAAGGAAGATATCGGTCTGCTTATACCAGTACTTCGACTAGTAATCCTTGTTTATAATGCGTTAATATTTTTAATAATAACTTTAAAAAAAAATCCTGTTTTAGTATACACGTAGCCTTTTGTCAAGTACCTGAGTTGATACCTTTTACAATTAACAGTTAGGTACCACATGTACATTGTGTTTAGAAAGTTGTGTGACCCTATAGGAAATTAACCATTAACGAAAGCTATGAGGCGAGTGCGCATATTTAAGGACTTTAGCAGTAGTGAAACCCAGAGAATTCCAGAGCCGCTCGCTATGTGGCATTTCAAGCTTAGAAGGGTCCGCCTGAAATGACATAATAAAGGACTAACCAAAGTCTGATCGCTTGAAAGGTAACTTTCGGTACAATTTTTTTCACTTTTTGTCTGGTACAAAGTACATTCAGAAAAAAGAAAAGGAAAACATCTAGGCCAATGTATCTTGGAGACGCTTAAACTTCGATCAAAATAATACCGTTCATTTATTGTCGTTGAAGATAATTTGTCCGGATTGTCATCCTTCTTCTTTTATTTTTAAATGAACGTTATTATAAAAATACATATTTCAGAATAAAGTACAAATTACACGAAAGGTCACTCTTGAAACTGTTAAACTTTAGTTAATTTGCCATGAGTATTTCAATCATCCTTCACGTGTAACATTGTATTGCACTAATGCGTATCCTATTTATAGTTGGTTCGAAAATATTTTAAAATAGAAATATCCTTTGTATTCTTATTCATGTTGAGTTGATATATGTCATGATAAAAAAAAATTTGAATAAGATGTACCATAGCTTAATAAATGAACCGTTATCCCTAAAAGTAGCTTTAACTTGTCGTTCTATTATCTGCTACTTCTAATTATTACGTGAAGGATAAGCAAAACTCCCAAAAATTCTTCAAATATGAGTGACATTATTGCTATTGCTAGCTCTTATTTTTATTGCTAACACTTTTGAACGCTTTCAGTTATTAGGACAGCTTTTGCCGCTTTGGAAGAAGACTGCGATATTGATGATGCCCGGCGAATCTGCACAGCGATACGTAACAAAGCGTTGTATTTACTCCACATCCACCATGCAGCTTGTACACCATACCAAAAGAATACATTTCTATAAAATATCAACCGGTACTCGGCTCCACCACCCTGTATAGTATTGCGCGTTGGCGGGCGTCCCCCTCGATGATAATTGCCAACAACCCTCTCATTGATGATCTTTGTTTGAGCAAACTGAACGAAGGATATCGTCTGCTGATCGTTCTGTGTGTAGATCGAATCAATCGCATGAGTAGCCTTCGGATGACAACTCCCGTTGGAGTGTTTCAGAGGGTGCTGTGACCAGTAATGGTGTATTTAGTTCGGGCTCTCAGGATTATGGGTGTATAAGATAGAATCTGTTATCACTAACTCAGTGGCTTTCGTAGACAGTGAGCTTTGCCAAAAATGACAACTCACAGTAAACAGGAGCTTCAGACTCATGTAAGATGAACAAGTTGGAGAAATTCATTGCGGAATTTTTTCCCACACTGGCAGTGACAAATATGTAAAAAAAATTAATAAATATTAAATAAAAACTAGCCCGTAAATTGTGAAGCTATTGATATATAGTATTGCTAATTAGAGTGGAGGACACTACAAAACGAGTAATTTGAACCGTTTTTTTCACGAACGGAGCCATTCTTTCTAATATTCATACAACTTTATAAAATTAAATATATTATTTAATGCCCCTTTTTACTTTCATTAACTCTTCGTGGCGTAATGGGGTGTACTTAAGTGTGCATGTTGATATTCATCGTAACAGCAGCACCGGCCAGTACCCATTACTATTTTATTAATTATTTAGTTGCTAGGCCCCTAACCTAAGTGCTCAAGGTTACCTTTTGAAGGTCTTTACGGACGGAGACAAGTGTCGTCTGATCGACTGCGTTAAAGTTGAGGAGACAAAAAATCGGAGGAAGAAGTTTTCATGGCTCGCGTTAAGTATCGATGCTAGTTCAAAAGTCCACATCACTTGGATTAAAGGAAAAGATTATACGAAGAAACATAAATGGAAATTGCAAGAGGTAAAGACAGTTGACCTATGCCACAAGGATGGTAAAGGTGAGTAATGAAACTGGTTAATTATTTGATTTTTAAACCAGAGTTATTTGAAATTCCTTACGGTAACTTTTTGGTTAGGTAGTTGTACTTCTCTATTGGTCACTTAATGCCAGTTGTAGCTATATCGGATATAAGATGTTGGAGAAGCTCACTTCATCTTCTTCTAAATATAGCACTTTTTCCATCCAACACAACTTTATCAATTTCGTTTACCGGTAATTCACACGCAGATACGCCAGAGTTTGAAATGCATCTTGACAGTCTGTACAAGTGGTCAGCAGTAAGTATTGCTGAAAGAGATTCCTTCGTTCGAAGTCTTTACCGCTATGCTAGAAAACTGCTTCCGGCTAATGACCCAATACGATTCAAAAATTACCGAAGTGATCTCTTCGAAGATCTCCAGATGAGTGCAGAACTAGCAGCGAAACTGCAAGCTACCGATGGGTTTGTATATTGCTATGTTTCATTGTGGATGGAGATTTGCATCAAAGTGTCTCGGTGCGCATATCGATGCAAATACACACATAGTTGCATGAACATACCACCAACTGATATAAAATATAATAGCGCAAAATTACAATATTCTTTTGAGGTGATAGGCATTTTCGGCGATATTTTAAACAAATGGTGTGAAATCTTGCTGTTTGCTGTAGTAATCAGATTGATTGAAGGCCGTTTCAGCAGCAGGCCACTGCTGATACAACCATTATTAATATTTGATATTTTTGAACCTAGTGGCCGTGATCTGGATGTGGCTACCGAGTACCAGGCGCTTTCCGCGAAAGAAGAATCCGATTTAGAGACATTAATGATTAAATATGAATTTGCCATCTCAAACGCTGAGGCGTTCACAGAACAGTTAAACCGCGAACTCTCTAACCTTGACGCAGCAAACGTACACGCAATTATGGAGAGCGAACGAAAGGTCCAGAGCTTGATGGATATGTTCGATGTAAGGGATTCGACGATTAGCTTGAGGTTCTTTACTCTTGTACACTCCGAAAAAATACGCATTATTTTGAATCCTAAAAAGTGATGATCTAATTTTCTATCGCTATAATTTTCGATTGCATGGTTTGACTGGTTGATTTATAATATGTTCGACTTATTATATAATTGCGCTTCAAATCTTTTTTTCAAATTTGATCTTTATTTACATTAAACCTTGTAAACTACTTTCATATTGAAAGCGCACTAACGGTTATTTCTTCGTATATCGGTGATTGGTTACTGAACGAATCAACCTACACACTCATTAACTAAATCTTGGTAAAGCTGATTTGTGTAAAGCGATTCTTAGGTCTACGCAGATTAGCGTATGCGGATTTTTATCAACGCTATCGCGTAGACATTATTGTAACGTGTTGTTTCTGCATTGTGGGTACATCTAGACCGTTATTGGTGAGGTAACCCACTTAGAGGATCGGCTAGATGCGTATGATGCTCTCCTTCGAGAGGTTCGTGACTCCGTCCTTCGGATGGAAGAGAAGGATGCTGTCATCCACGTGCAAAACGACAATATTGAAAGATTGCGCCAACTTCTCGAAGGCATCGTCACTCGAAGGGATCTTATCCACGAACATGAGATGACTTTGCTGGGACCGAAAGACCTCGACACCGAAGAGGGCCTGGCTAGATGTTTTGAGGCAGCCATGTGAGTCTTACTAAAAAAAAAAACTTTGCGAAATAATGTTGTCTGCAGCATGACGATTCAAACAAAGGTCACTTGTCATATTTCTAGAGGTCTGATGTGGACATCTGTATTATTCATGTTGAGTGAATTTCTGAATTACAGGGCCTTAGAGGAAGCCATGTCCGTTCCAATGCATCCCGCCCTTAGTGAAATGACGGCGGTAAAAGACCGCAACAACTCGCTCGAAAATCTCAAAAAATGTGTTACGAGATGTCTGTCTCACTATATAAACGACCAACTGATTAAAATTAGCGTCGACTATGGATCGGTGAGAACCATTGAGTATGCTTACTACTAACTGCAAGTAATGTCTTACGATATACGGTTCGTCTACCTTCGTCGCGAGACAGCATAAGTACGAAGATGCATTTCATAATATAGTTTAATAATTAGCATTGTTCTTCTACTCTGTAAAACGTCTATTTGTTTGCTTACCTATGAGTCTCATCCATACGTTGTCTTTTCTCCTGTAATTTTGTGCGCATTTCTATAAATAGGGCCGGCGTACAATAGCGGCCGGGGAGCCTGTTCTGCGAAAGCACGAATTTGTGCATAATTCGTTGAAACCATTCTCCCCATTGATGGCATGGCTGAAACGAAATGATGACGTCACATATCAATTTATTAAGAATAATTATCTCGGTGAGTTCGCTTTCATTAAAAGGGTGTTCGTTTAAATCACTGAATTATTTTGACGAGTATAGATATTAGCATTCTGGATGAAAAAGTACACGCCGCAATACTTAAGCGTAATTTCCAATAACAATCATAATTGTTGGACATTCGGCGGCTGCAATTTCAGATCGCTTTGGACAAATCTACCAACAGGAAATCATTATATTTTTTGAGCAAGCTAATGCCAAACTTCGCTTTGAAGAATCGCGCAGCGCTAGCGGTATCCTTGACACCAAGAAGGGTATGATAGATTCATTTATATATGGTGTTTTTCCGTCCAAAAATGTTCAGTATTTTTCATTTACTACGTCAAGGTATATCTGAAGGTGCCGAATTTTTTTATAAGGTAGTAGTTGATTAAATAAAATCTTGCTTTATTTTTTTAGGGACGCTCGTTTTAAATGCTCAGGAAGGTGTCGTGAGCACGCCGACGAAACAACGAACCACTTGTCTCTTGGGGAAGTTTCACACAAACCTACGTTATTGCAAGATTGAACAGAATTACTTTGAACTCAACTCAATTTGAAATTTAAACACTGACGTCAATTTCTAATCTGGTTCCTCCATATTAAGGAGGCGTTTTTTTTATCCATAATGCTTCAAGTAACCTAGAATACTCGGTTTGGGCTTAATAAGGCCAAGTGAAATAGTTATTATGTGGTCTAAATGAATAGAAACTTGGCCTAGTCGTGAGCCCCAATAAATATAGTAGCAACAGAAAAATCTTTATCGAACACTTGTCAGCTATTCGCTCAAACCGAAGCATCAATTCAGGGACAAAGTAGATGCATGTTTAAATTAATTCGCAACTTCTGTTGTTTAACCTGCCATTACAACAGGTATGGCCAGCGAGTTGTTCTGCGCAGGAGAGGATGAAGTGGCTCGCCAAATGTTTGACTTATTTCTTGAACGTATTTTGACGTCTCTAGAACCAGCATACCTAGCTGAACAGCACTTTTGCATCCAATTCCTTGATCTAACAACCCAGAAGGGTACCAGGCTCTATGGTGCAGAGGGATTGGGCGTTTTAGATGGAAGTGCGATGTCTTCTGGTTCAAGGACGCCGTCGAAAAGTACGTCTGTCGATGAACTCGATTCAGTGTCCCGCACATCAAGTGACGAGATACTTTCCAGACTCAAGAAACGTGACAGAGATATTGGGCAAGAGGTAACAAGAGCTTTTTGTGGTTCATATATGTATATATAATCGGTCAATAAATTATTATGCTACCCGCGATGATTTCTTTACCTTGAAAACAAAAAATCCTATATCCTGCGCCACAACTGTGGACAGACGATTTGCTTTTTAAATGTATCTTATAAAAAGTAAAACGAACAGTTACTTATATATATATATATATATATATATATATATATAACATAATGTATAACGTAATATATATATATATATATATTTAAATGTAATACTAATTAACTTTTTCAGGTGAGAGATGTTATGGCTAAACTATTTGGATCGCTTGAGGATGAGCTAAACAAATTCGTGGCCGCGTATGACCAAGTCTACTCGATGTATCTATTGGTCCGGCTTTGTCATCATACGATTCAGACCCAAGACGCGGGGTCGTACCTCTGTAAACTTTATGGCATGGCTCTGGTAAAAATTTAACAGATATTTTTACGTTGTAGCCTAGTCTAACGACCGTGTAAAGTGGGATACAGTGAATACCATTTGTTCTCAATCATGCTTACTTAAAACATTTGTTTATTCAAGATTTAGATTTCATCCTGTTATTGTTTTATGTCTTACATCATGCCCATAGATGTACGAATCTATGGCAGTGCTAATGCTGCAATCATACATAAGGTCATATATTTTATCAGTTCACTTATATTTAGTATTTTGGAAGCCACTGTATTAGGGCGGGAATATGACTTGTGCTTTCTTGTATTTGAAATATGGTTAACGCCATTATCCACCTCGCCATAGGTGAACGCTAAGCGAAATTTTGACCACTACATGAGCTCACACATAACCAGTATCGCTGAGGCAAAACCTCCTCGAAGGAACAAATGCGGTATAATTTCATTTGTCTCAAACTTTGAAGAGTTCGCTAATCAGTGTGAAGCTGTCTTTAAAGGGAGCGACAGGAAAGGCGATTTGCAGAAGTGGTACTCGAAGGTTTGTATACCCAGTTAACGAAGATTATGTATCACCTCTGTTCGTAATAATTCGACACTCAAGTTATTACAAAGAGTACTACTTTGAGCTATCAAAAGATCCTGATAAATCCCATATGGCATACTGTACTTGTGATTAAACAGTTTTGAGAGGAGACCAAGTGGAGTTGTGTTAAGAGTCGTATATGCCGTATTAATTACTTCTTATGAATTGGATTTACTAATTACATGAAATGACAATCGATTTCTACATTTTGGTTTGAATAGGAGACACGACTAACCAAAAACCGATTTCAGATTGTTCACGCAATTTTCGATGGGATTGTTCGTATATCTGTAGAACATGGTCGAACACCACCCGAAGTAGTTCGTATGGAGAATTATCACCACATGCACGACAGTCTGTATAAGCTGAAAATACTTGAAGATGATAGAAAAGAGGCTAAAGAAAGATACAACAAAGCACTCAAGGTATACTAGCTCATTAATGAACAACGCGTGTCATAATTTAGTCATCCAGTAGTAGACACATGGAGAGCATTAGTACGTTATGCATTGCAGCACTACAGTACATATATTTGAAAATATATATAGAATCAAAATCATAAATCGTTTGTACTTATTGGACAACACGATTTTATTGCTATAATGGCCTTGCTCAGTTTTAGAAAGCAAATATAACGCAGTTACACCTACTAAGATGTAGTACTATAGTAAGCAGCCTTTACCTGGGTTCATATTTTTTTTTTTTTAATAATATTTGCGTTTGCAGTCCTATGTGACGAACTACTTTGGGCGTCCCCTCGAGAAGTTGAACGTATTCTTTGATGGCGTTCAGGCTCGACTGGATACCGGAACGAAAAAATCTGATGTTTGCTTCATACATCAATATTCGAAATCTGAACTACGAAAAGTTATACACGAGTTTCCCGGCAAGGAAGTAAAGAAAGGACTCGAAGCTTTGTACAAGTGAGTATGACGTAACAAAAACTACTGATAACCTGCAACATGTTCGCATGAAGGCAGCCGGTGGATCACAATGAGGTAGTGTAAAATATATTGGTGCTAAATATGTTATGAATAAGACAATGATTGAAAACGTTAATATCTCTTTGGTACGAGCTTTTTTGTGAAGTGTTGGTAACTACGGCACCTTTTGGTCATCCCATGTGAAAACAGCAACAACAACCTATGTCTCTAAATGGTCATCATGTGTATGGTCTTGCAGGAAAGTAGAAAAGCATTTGTCACCTGAAGAAAACCTGCTACAGGTGGTGTGGCGAGACATGCAGGATGAATTCATCCGGCAGTACAAAGCTATCCAGACGTTGCTTGATAGTTGTTATTCGGGATCTATGATTCAACTCGAGTTCTCCATCACAGACCTTCTCGAATACTTTTCCGATATAGCGAAACAGCATTAGTGTTTGGTAGTGAATAGTTCAGTCAAGTTCACACTACTTGATTTCTCCAGTGAAAACTTATTTATTGTTTACTTAGAACCTTAGTTGTAATACCCTCAATATTCAGACAAAAAACTAAGGGACAATTAGTCTGACGTTACAGTACGACCTTAAAAATGTAAGCATAATCTATAATGCCTGTGATAAGGTATTATATGATGAACTGTTAAATTGAGAGTCGCACCTTGTTTTTCACTCAAAAATTGATTACTCAACAAAATATGTTATAGGTAACGTCAGATACATATAGCAGGTTCTAGTACATAGGTAAATGCAAATGGTGGTTCAATATTACAGAACCAAAAGATGGAATCTACAAACGCTTTTAAAAAATATTGCTTCGGCATGAACGGCGATCTGGTTGTGAGCCGATAAAACAGTAGCTCCATTATGGACAGGCGTACAATATGGCTTAACAAGGCCTACTCAATATGCGTTTATAGAGAATATTACTATGCGTTAAATGGTACTACTCTGTTGTTTGCAACACTTCTCTGTATTTTATTTAACACCTTCGAATAATAACTAGCGATAACTAACACAGATACCTACTATATGGTTTGAGTTCATGAAAAATGTGTAGTTGTTGCAGGGAAAATGTAGGCACAAAACAAGCAAATGATGGCCATACGGTGATCATGCTGTACACTTGAACAACTCGCATATACAAAACCGTTTGTGAAAAAAGACTCTTTGTAACTTCTAATGTACCTATTAGGCTAGCTAGCATTTTTCCGAGGCTAGCTAGCATTTTTCCGTTACTTAAATAAGCTGTAATCAGCGTTAAGTCACACAGCGCAAACTGTTATATGCTACTCTAAAAATACAAAATCTGACTAGAAATATAGATACATATACAAATATTCTATGACCGACGGCGGTATACTAGCTAAGAATAAACTAATGTTAGTATAGTCAACTGAAAAATGTAAATTAAATAAGAAAAATGCAAATGAAGTATTTCCATATATATATAATAATTTTCAAGACTGCCTGGTTATGGGTAGTGTACATGGTGTTTTTGAAGACGATCGAGTTTTACTTTCGAACGTACTATTCGCAGCATACTGTGAGGTAAATTGAGTTGCTATTCACCCACCTGAATAAAAATATTCATCTTTTGAGTAACACGTAAATTACAAGATTTATAGATGTGAGAAAAGAGTGAATATTTTCATAAATATTTGCATAAAATTCGTGTCTTTATTTTCAGCATGTAGCTCTCTATGTTAGTATCAGAATTAAAGTTTTTACTATTATTAACATTATTAATACAAATTGACTTACAAGTATCGATCCATGCTGGTACCCCGCGTTTTCCTTTGACTTTTCGATTGTGCAAAGGCCAACACATGCCTCACTTGACCGCTATATATATATATATATATATATATATATATATATATATATATATATATTATAGGCCACGTTACTCTACAGAAACGTAACATGTCCAACAACGATAGGTTATACAATTGCTTGTTATGGTTCTCTTCGCCGAACGGTTGCAGGTATGGAGAAGCGAGCAGTTTGACACAAGTAACGTAATAACATCTTTCCCTAGAGTTGCGTGTAACAATACGCTGATATTCTGAAGCGTAGTGTCTTGGTGCTCGCGTGCTACATTAATTTTATGAACGTGACTCTAAAAATTTAGGCGACTGTATTAGGCGGCGTAGCAGGAGACAGGTAGACATTGTTACTCGTTTCGAGGTTATTAGAGAGATTGGAAGTATCTGGAGTCGCTGTTGAGTTCTCCTTACTGCGCAATCGAAACAGCTGCGTGACTCCTTGCTTGAAGCCATCAAAGTTGTAGTCGATCAGCCCTGCATGTTGGTATTGGGCAGGGCCAAGAAAACAGAAATGGTTAGTTTTACACAACGCCTTCCTGCAGCTCAATATAAGTGTTTCAATAATCACGTTTCACTACACCATTGGAGCTACGGTCGCAATGAGGTAAAATTTTCGTTTAGCGTCATTACTGAAACGTTAAACACCTGTAATTTGTAGAAAAAGAGAAGTTTTCTAAAAAAAAAAAAAATGACCTAATTTTTTTTTAAAAGTAAAGCACACTGGCCTCTGGTTCATAAACTATAGTACTTGATAGAATCATATCATAACGTTTATACGAACCATGATTTTTGAAGTTGTCCATTCGTATTATACAGACAAGAGCTAAGTCCTGACCCACTTCTCGAAGATATAGAACTGTCTCATTACTGAGCCGAACCAGTGATCCTGCTTGCTGGTCGAATTGACTACCAGGCCGACCATAAATGGTCGAGATGTCTGTTGCTAAGTCAAGCATGTCACAGCATAATTCGTAAAGCTGCATATCTACAGGGAAGACATCCGTTGCGATATAGATTTTTGACGGTAGGTCGAACAGGAAGCCTCGCTCGACTAGAGAATTCTGCGAAGAAGAACAGAGAAAATCGTACGAAAGATGAATATATAATCTTAAATAATAAATTAGGATATATTGCAACTGCGTTAACAACTAAACTTGCGTAGTCTTGAATTATAACTAGCTATGGCATTATACATTCTCTTATGTATAAGGCTTGAGAAATGTGCAGTTACGTCTGTGATAAAGATGTAACAAGATTTAACTTTGGCTATGAGAATAAATAAGGGGATGACATTTTACAGTTTTCGTAACTGTGGATTTAAAGCTGTCGTGAGTAAATAATAACGCAAAAATATTTTAAATTTTCAGTCCGGTGCTGGCGTTAAGCAAGCGGCTGGTCCCTTCCATCACGAAACGAAATGTCTCAATGCCTTGATTCGAACCCGGCTGTGACCTACGCCATTGCCTAAGTGTAACAGAAAAATGCAACTTTGCGGGAACAAATTTAAGTGTTTCCTACCGATATGAAGACGTTGAGTAGGTTTTCAAGCATTGGCAGCTGAGGTATCAATCGCTGGACGCATTTGGAGAAGGCCTCAAAGACTGAGTGGTCATAAATTGAGGTAAGATTAAGGGCTACCTGGGCGCTCAAGTTATCAGTGGCGGACTCGATCTGTGACTGAACTTCGCGTTGCGTTTCAATTTTTTGGTCATCCGAAAGACCGTCCACTTTATGGATGAATACATCTATGTTGACATTCGGATTTAGTCTGTAATGCAGATAGAAGTTAAAGCCTTATATTTCATTGATCTGAGATGACTCATTACCTTACATATCTTATGCGTATATGACATACTACAAACATAATCCAATCTCATCACGTTGATAGGTTTAGGCAATTACATGTCTCGACTGTTGCCAAGCTTTAAATCGGTATCACCTAATAAATTCTTCACGAGCTTTATAAGTTTATTGACATAATTACAACACAAACCTGTGCGCTTTATCGACTGCGAGAAGCATGGTATTTACAGCCTCTTTGACTTCGGACAGTTCGTTTTGTGCATCAATGACGAATACGATCCCATCGCAATCCTCGAATAGGCTTGCATTTTTCTCATCCTTGAGATCGATAGCACCTAAGCAATGTGTCGGGCAGGGCCCGTAAGAATTACACGGGCGAACGCAATTTTCAAACTGTGATGCTAATATCCTAGCATAATATTATCTAAAGACGTCAAACAGGCTTCAACGATAAATGGCAGTGGTCAAGTAGTTTACTAGCTGGGCACGAAAAACATAGTTAATTCACATTAGTGATATACAGTTATAGTGATCCGTGTTACATCTTACCGAAGATATCCCAGATTTCGAGCTGGACGAAGGGCGAGTTTTTTATGAACTCCTTTTTTATATCATTGTTGCTCTCGAGATAAAGAGTCTCTGTTGAGTTCATCTTATGAAATACTACTTCAATGATTGAGCTTTTGCCGCTACGTGTGTGCCCCATAAGCAGAATTTTAGGTTGACCCGATCCGCTACCCCGTTCTCCACCCCGTGCATCCGCTTCCGTATCACCATATTGAAAATCACGGGGAAACGAACCCGCGATTGAGAGATCTTCAGCTTGATATGACTGCAAGGACGATTATTGTTGAACGTATTTAACATTAGTCAAATGAGATACTAAACAGAACTTCAAATCGTCTGTAACGGTCAACAATTATATATTAATTGCACGCAAAAGCTGTATACACATTTCACAGTGATCTACAAGGGAACAAGGACTCACTGGCTAGAATCGAGGATAAACATTCCGAGTAAAAATTTTTCTTAGTAAATACGGCAATCTATGGAAAATGCGTATTTTCCGTTCATAACGTTAGTCACTTGAAGTCAGCGTCACCTTTTAATACTGTCAGTTACTAGAATACAAGTTCAATTTAACTGGGGAACTTCACGATTGCTTGAAAAAAACACGCGTCTTTACATTTTCGAACGAAACACCTTAACGAGAAATTAATTCACCAAATATCGATTTCATCAAGTGCAGTTCGGAGGCTGCTAATTAGATAGGGTAGAAGAGTTTCCGATTATTGCATTGCGTTAAGTCGATCTCTCGCTTTGTCGGTACGATTCAAACTTTTCATTCGAATCACGCCCCACTTAACGGGATATACCATACAACAATACAAGATATCACGAGGTTATACATTGATGAAATCTTACAAACACGTTTTCCATAGGGAAGTCATCGAACGCTTCCCAGAAACTTTATCACGCCGCTATATTGCCGTGCCAGATAGATAAAAAGGATAGTCGTGACTTGTCTCTAATCGACAAGCGTGAAAGAGAGATTCGGATTATCGGGTGACAGGTTGACATCGGAATACGCATAGCCCAAAAAATAACATCTTTACAAAATATTAAAGAGACTAACCTCTAAAATTGTTTAAGAAACATGAGCATTAAGCTCTCTTTGAATGCTGATTAAAAGACAAATCACCGTTTCCACAGTAATCTACACAATGTCCAGTCGGATAGTGGACGATGCTAATTGAATTATTACACATTTCTTTTATGCACATGTTACGACGAGTCAACGACATCTGAGACTAGAACTATGGGCGACACAATCCATTATATTGAGAACACCATTTGTACTACAATCAGAAATGATGTATGGGATAGGCTCGTAACTCATATTTAGGGCTTCCCGCTGTAAGTCAGTCCTGTTACATTCTCGTTACACCTTAATCGTTGATAATAATAACATGCAGTAGACAATAGTGTAAGACCGTGGGCATATTCTTACAAAACGAATAAATGAGCCGATATATTCGCAATAATAGAAGACACCAATTATTGTTTAAATAACCAGTAATTTTCCCCTACAAGAAAGCTACCTTGTACACCCGCCGCATCGTAACTTGGCACCGTTCCGCGGCAACAGGCAACTCTGCACTCATATAAAAAAAAAAAAAGATAATAGAACCGATCATGAAAATACAGTACACTATTTGAATATTTTTCTTAAACAAGAGATGACAGTAGTAATAACTCAATGATGGAAAGCGACTCGAATATCCCACAGCACTGACAAATTTAAGGAATGGCTGTTTTGAATCAAGCTTTGGCAGGCGCTGTATGTTCTATCATACCATGCCCTTTCTACATTGGTGATTACAGGATGAATTATCGCTACTAAGCGGCGCCTCTCAGCTAGATCAACAAGAGTCAATTTTCGATCCGCTGCAGCAACGCTTCGTCCATTGAGTTAACACTAAATCAGATGAAATCCGTTTGACTCGTCGCGCCGGACATCGTATTAATACACACTCCACCACAAGCTAATCCCCACTGCTAATGCTACTTTTCCATGCTGAAACAGACAGAATGTTCTATGACGCACCGGACACCTGGTGTTGTTGGCATTCGCTGAGCAGACGCCCAATGCGGTAAACGCGAGTCCATTGTGTAAAATGGCGCAGATTTCAAATCAGCTAGAGTACCGTAAAGCTGACGACTCAGTTGATACAAACCATAAATACAGGTTCGAATCCAAACTTAGACACACTCCATTTCATGCTGAGAGCCAGCCTACCCAACGTGAAACACGTAAAACGTTTCAGCAGACATTTACAGCCTATTTAAACAGCTAGAATAAAATCGAGGGCGAGTGCGGGCGCGCATCATGCGCGCGACTAGAGCGCCAGTAAGAGGTATTGCCTGTTTCTCGGGTACCGCCTCTGGCCTTTTTCGTGAGGTGACATAACATTCATTTAATGCATCGTTAACGGCCATTTAGTAATCCCCTTCAAATGGTGCCATATACCATTGTTTTAATAAATCATAATATATAGCGTAAATGATTTGATTCACTTGCGTAGCAAGGTTCATAAATTAATAAATTACTAAAACCTTATTGATCTTTAAACCGTGTAAAGCAACGTTTTCTTCACTATGCTTTCCATTCTATCTGCATATATAGCGTCCAGCTGATGCTTAGCAAACCGTCAATAATCGCTAGTGGTCAAATGGTTATTGGGTGATTCACCAAACATCCATTGACTGCTGGCACCCGTGGAGTCGACAATGCGATCGTCAAATTCCACAGTTATTTCCATTCAAAAACCCTTGTACCTCTATAATTTTTTCTCTCGCTCTCTCTTACTGTGCTTCACGTCAGTTTTTTCCTCTGGGTTCCCCTCTGCGGCCACTGGGAGCTCCCCAATCAGGTCTGTCCCTTTCTCACGAAAGCGAGGTCTGTTATGTTTGCGCCGGTGTTTTGTGCCCCTTCGTAGATGCCCTCTCCTCCTGAAGCAATCGGATTGCCCGTTACTTATGCTAGTCGCTGGCTGTCTGCCCTTTCATCGCCCGTGTCAGCCAGCTGCTTGCAGCTGCTGTACGAGGGGACTGTTACAGCCGTGGCGGCAGCACTTATAGCTGTGATGGCGAGGATTCGAAGATCGAAGTCGGTGAGAGGGCCGTTATTGTTGCTGGCAAATACGACAGGTCTCCCTTCTTCTCGTGCTCGTCGATAATAGAATTAGTAGCAGCGGCAACAACGAGTCAGCAAGCAAAACGAGCTGCTGTTACCAGCTAGCTGTTTGCCGGTCACGAAGAGTGGACACTTGTGGTTGCGTTCCAGCAGTTATAGGTTGTACGGCGAAAAATCTTCACGCAGTCAGTAGTGGCCAGACGATACAGTGCATAATGGTGTGTCCTCGTCTGTGCATCTAGTGCACACACTACTTTAACTACAGTGATCTATCGAGAGAGAAAAGAGTAAGGCATAAACGTAACTAAGTGTATTGAGCTGAACGCTGCTTTTCCGCTACTACTGTTCTTTTTTTAGCTTGCGCTAGCGAGAGAGAGCAAGTTCTTTCGGACAATCCTGTTACGTGCTACAGCAGATGTGACACCCGCTCTAGCATTTTGACACGACGGAACTCATGCGGCAGCTGTTCTAAATTGTGCGAGCAGTGCGCGAGCATATGAGATACGTTTCAGGTACAACGTTGTTCGTCTTTATTGGACTATCATTTACTGCCATGTTGTAGCAGATTATCTCAGACCAAGCAGCAACTGATGCATAGTACGTTATAACTTAGATGTTGTTTTTATCTTTGCTACTGTATTCTACGGTATAACGTGTTGATTGCAGAATCGTTTCTACTGGCTTCTTGTCCCACTGTCCATGCGACCCATTCTTATAATCTACTTTTCTACTGTTCGGCTAACAGTTGCTAATCACTGCAAGTCTTGCACTAAGAAGTTCATGTGAGCGCGGGAGTGACCGCGTTTGCCGGTTCTTTCGCCGTGAGCGTGTTTACTGCTCAACGTAATATATTAGAGCTCAGTCTGGTTTGTTATAGCCACTATTGTCACCGGAGGCTGAGCTTATGCTGCTGACGTACGACATGTTGTACGATCGGTTGATGGTTCCATTGGTTCATTTACTTATCCGCTGTCCGTACAAAGTAATATAGACTTTGACGTGTGCCGTCTTTTCTTGAATAGTAAAATAAAAAAGAATTCGGTAAATGTTGCGCCGTCAGTATACGCTACTACGACTGTTGCTGCGAGCTGAGTAGTACCATTTTGCCCTGATCGATGCCTATTACTATCTATTACATCGGAAATAACACAAGTGCTAAGAACGCATGGGCAATGCGCGCTCCACTAACCTTTAATATTAACAGATATATAGATTATCAAGGTTTGCAGAGATATGTAGGTGGAAATAATAACTTAATGGTTTTCTATATAAACGTAAAAGAGAAACGTACTGCCTAAATACAAATTCATAAGCAGTAAGCGTTAATGCAGAATTACTTAATATCAGTCAGTGTACTAGAGGTTCGATGCGAATCTTACGTTCGCCTGCAATCAACTTTCAAGTGATTAACGGCTGTTAATGAATAAAGGGCGTATAGACGATATATTTAATAGGGGCAATAATATTCAACTAAGAAATCAAAAAAGGATAAGAAACATATTGTAGTACGTGGTTATGGATAGCCAGTTTATTGGAACAATGCTTCTATATGAATCAAGTGTTTGTAACTAACTTGACATGTGTTAGTTACTAAATTATCGGTCAGATATATTGAAGTAACCTAAATAGCATATTAGTTATCAGTGCCATTGCTTTGCCATTTGGGCGATCTGTTTTGGAAGACGCATTTTTGCAGCGGGTTTGGATTTCTCGACGGACGTGTATTAGAGCTCTTTGTTTACGTTTACGAATAACAAAAATTAGGTAATAGTTGATAAAATTGTTCACTTTTGACTTATCATTGAATCGCCGTTCCGAACAACTAATTGTATCTAGTTTACAGAGTGTCGTTTAGTAGTGACAGGTACAATTTTTAGGCTCATAGTGTCGTTTGCAGGTATTAGCCAGATATTGAGAGACTTCAGGACCCGTTTTATGGCATAAAGTGCGCATTTTTATGGGGACACCATTCTAGTGGAGCAACTGCTCTAACGTTAATTACATGACCATATATATATATATATATATATATATATATATATATACATATATATATATATAGGGAGTAGTTTTGTGAAAACAGTTTTTCAACTTATGAATCATTTTTACTGTACTACTTTCTTAAGATTACTATATCCTGTTACGTGAAAAAACAATCGTTGATACCCTGGAGGCCTGTTGAGCACTGTTTGAGGGCAGAACCAGTAAATGAAATAAAATTTTTGGGGTGGAGTCCTCGGCTTCTTACATGGTAAATGAATATATTGAGTCACCACATACACACACACTCACCGAAACGAGAAAATTGGCTTAGACGAAATTTTAATTAATTTATTTGTTAGATATGGAAGACCATTCTAGAACTAAATCTTTACTTAACGGTGCTATAAGTAGTTTCTTAACAGTTTAAGGGTCATCATTTTCCATATGTATAATATATATGCCAAGTAGGTTTTTCTAGATTATTGCAAGACTTTGGTCGCGCGCTGTATATAAGCAAACAAAGATGGTGCAGCGAACAAACAAAAAACCCAAGAAAAAAGAAATCTATTCGAATTTTATTAGCATGTATGTCGAAACACGTTTTTCCAACGATATTTAAAAACGGATCTCCCCAGGGCTTTAAACAGCCCTAATGAAACCTGTGACTAAGAAGAATTCGCTCAAAGGACCGAAGCATAAAGGCGTTATTGATACTTACATCCTTTGGTTCATCCAAGTTATCTTTGAGACACGCGAGCAAGACGACTGTTTTAGCTGGATGTCTAAACAAACGGGTAAATTAGGTCCTTAGTTTAAAAGGGAACTTCTGTCGCGGGCGATTGTCGAACGAAAAGATCCATAGAGTAGCTGATGTCCTGTTTTTTTTGAAGGGAGCTAATTGACCCGCAAACAAATAGTATGATTTTCCTGCGCTGTAATTGGCCGAACAGGCCATCTATAGGTATAATACGAAAAGATCTAAAAAAGTTATAATGCTCTCTGGACTTGTCATATCACTCAGTTCAGCTCTTTAGGCGTTTGCCGTTTCGGTAGCAACCTTTTCATCTTTCAGTGGACCATTTCTGTTCTTTTCATTAAAACTTCGACTTATCTCACTTTAACTGAAAATGATAATCTGCATAACACATTTACGGCAAATCACTCCAAAGTTTTCATGGGTTATTAGTAGTTGCACTGAGATTGCGTTCAAGTGAAGTGCGACTCGCCTATCAGAGTGTTTTATGTTATTTAATCATTCAGTAATTTAATGAAGCCTCTGTAGGAGTGTTACTCTTAATACCCAAACGTAAATGGCCGCGTCTGTGCAATTGTTGATAAATAAATTCTATATAGAGCATTTTTGTCTATGTCCACCAGTGAGAGGAAAGAAATTAACGTTAGTATATATGTTGTTGAACCATACAACCTAATTTCAGTTTGTTGTTTGTTCTTACGCAAAGGCTTTTCTTGTTGCTGTTGTTGTCTGCTAGCTCCATTAGCCTTAATGTATTGCTTTCGGCCTAATAATCACCAATAAAAAGTCGACTTGGCGATGGTTAGCACAAATTTCGTTATTATTATTATTCGTTGTTTATATTACTATTGTTTGTATCGTAAATGTCGTGCTATTGTTTCTCGTCCTTATTCCTTACGATATAAAAATGAACAAACTTCAACAATGGACACAACAAAAAGCTGTCTCTCTAAGAGAGTAGAATTATTGCTGCCCCAGATATTACTTCCAATGATACAATATATTATCATTGTATGCCATATTGTACTTTAGTGGACTGCTAATGGAACTATCAGGACGACAAGTAAAGAATCAATAAAAATGACGATGGCCACATCATTATTATATAATAGACAGTCTGTAACATTAGTACAGGGGGTGCATGCACACATAGATACACGACAACTAATACCAAACTTATATAAGAATAGGAAGTGTTTTTTATTTATCAAATGAAAATGACTGTAACCGTTCCGTAACCCTTGAAAGATGCCCGATTGTCCAATGACTATTTAGTATTGGAAGATATCGTATTGTGGTGATAATAATAATAATAACAACTGGCTAGCTATAGTAAATAATCATTGATATAACCTTCGCTAACTAACCAAAAGGGTTTAGTTGCAGTTCTCAAACAGTATAATTGTCTTTTTTTTAATTAAGTTACACATTTTATGGAGGGAGTACAACTTTATTGGGAGCGTATTGATTCGGTCAGTTTGAGATCGACATCAGTTGCGCATGTTGCAACTTTCTGTCCTATCCGAAAACTCGTAGTTGCGTTTCACCCAGCAGCGCCGTAAATCTGTTTGGTCGATGCTAACATGGCCTATTCAGTTCTGTGCGGTATCGTGTCCTAGCGTCACCTTGTCTTGGCATAGGAAGTAGTAGATGCCGATCTCTTCGATCTACTACTATACGCAATGTCCGTTTTGTAATGTGTAAAAAGTGTTTACTTGCTCCAGTTCTAATCGTGGGTCTAATAACTTTACCTCTTAAGGAGTGAATAGGATCTATGCTTCTGGTACAACTGAACTCGAGGGGTGATGCGGTTCCGTGATCTGTGTTCCTCCCAACATTACCAGCCACTATTTTCCGTTCGTTACATATGTTCCATTTTCATATCCAGTGTATTTTTCACCTTTCTCTTCTGCCCTTGAAGAGTCTCTAGTTAAGGGGCGTGCCGTTAATGAAGTACAAGGTGGGCTTTTGCTAGTGAAATTACTGACAAATAGGCAACTGGAATAGCTATTTTAAACCCGTACTAGAAAGATCGGTAGCTCTGTTATGTGCAAACGTTTGTTCTAGTGTCATAAAGCACAGAAGCCATTCGCAAGTTGAGAATGGGTGAAGATCAGGTATCAGGCATGATTTGGCCGCCTTTTGCTATTGAAGTACTGATTAAAACGAGACAACCATCCCGTAGAGGAAGCCATCTCGGAAAATACCTTGCAACTACATGAGAGAAGTTATGCTCACCAAATTAACTGTTGTTCACGATGATTCTACTGAAGAGCTTGTTGCACTATTGGTTATTAATCGTGGTAACTAGAAGCCGCCATGTCTTGAAACCTTACGAAGACATGGTTAAGTTTCTTTCTTCTACTTTTCAGACGTTCCAGTAACGCGTCTGAATTGTATAACGTGAAAAAAAAACATGGAATTTCCATTTATAGAGCTGGATCGGCGCACTGAATTTTCTTGGTGTTGTTAAATGTTAAAATTGGTTTGGTGCCGTAATTAGGGTCAGACCCTATTAACCTAATATCTAATGGCACAACAAAGAAACTAATAGAAATAAGAAAATAAATAAACCATAAATTCTTATGATTTGGTATAGGATCTATTTCGAGATACTTATTCTGTTGTTTTCGTAAAAGTTTGATAACGAAAAGCAACGATTGTATGTAATTGAAGTTTCGTTCACTAACTGATATATGGTCGCGCCATCTCAGGTCTGTTCGGTTCTTATGTTAGTTTAGCGAATAACGAGTTACAATGAATATAGCTTATGCA